GTTAATCACTATCTACTGCAAATAGATGTTTCTGTAATATAGAGTGAGAGATACATTTATCTGTGGATGTAACAAGTAGCCATTAGGTGTTCCTTAATACTATGTATATTTAGAATAATAATAGAAATAGGTCCACTCCTATAGGTTCTAGGCCTGGTAATGATACCAGGCATTATTTGCATCTTGTTGAGCAGGACTTAAATGTAGTCATAAAGTGCTTGGTTACCACATTGGTGCTTATGCAGCTGTTGTACCAGTGGGCATGCACAAGTCAGTCACTTATACTGATCACAAGTTTCACTGCCAAACAAGATTTGTTTTTGATATTTCATACTTTTTAATACAGAGCAGCAACGAAACACATGCTTTTGGTCATGTACTCAATAATTTGGTGGACTGGCTCTCACAGGCCCTCACTGACAGCATGGCCTCTTTGCATATTCAGGCTTGTGAGTTGTTGCAAGACTGGTCCTTTAACTGGACCCCATACCTAGTCATTTCACCCCCAAGCTATCAAACTAAGTTTCCGAGCTGAGCACTGTTTTTGGAGCAGTTCTGGGGTTTGTTCCATGTCTTTGGTTTCCATGTCCCACAAAGTCTTGAGAGATGACCTTGTTCAGTGACACACTTATAAAATTCCACTTTCCAAGTTTTTCTGTTTCTAGTCATTCATCTATTAAGTGGGCTTTTATAACACAGAGTCTCATAAACCACCCTTTATAGGTTTTTCTTTTTCTTTCAGACACTCACACCATAGTTATCTTTTGTTGCAGGAGCCTCTTGAAAGATGGCTAAAAATAGTTTTGTAGGAATGACCTTGAATAATGCAATATTTGTGGAAATGACAGAATTTATACCAAAATTCAACTATTTTGCAATGCTAAGACCTAGTATCCTATCAGATTATTTTTGATATTTATACAAGCTTGAGACAATGGAACTTCGGGCAACATTTTACTCCTGGGATCACAATATCGATAGCTTATAGCTTTCATGCTTTTCTGGGAAAACCCCTGGATTTGTGATGAATTGAAATATGAGGAAATTGTAGGAGCTAGTATTGACTCGAGATACCCTACAAAGGATTTGTAAGGTTAAAGAGAGAGAGACAGAGAGAGGGAAGATAGATAGATAGATAGATAGAGAGAGAGAGAGAGACAGAGAGAGGGAAGATAGATAGATAGATAGATAGAGAGAGAGAGAGAGACAGAGAGAGGGAAGAGAGATAGATAGATTTAAAGAGAGAGAGACAGAGAGAGGGAAGATAGATAGATAGATAGATAGATAGATAGATAGAGAGAGACAGAGAGAGGGAAGAGAGATAGATTGAGACTCTGTTAGAGAAAATGATTTTTCATTTGTGAGTGGTTCATTTCTGAGTTCAGTAGGGATGGGGGCTGTTCCACATCTATCAGCACTGGGATCTCATCTGACTTGCTCTGTGCAGGTCCCGTGCAGGCTGCCACAGACTCTGTGAGTTCATTGAGCATTGGTCCTGCTGTGTTTAAGAGGATGTTTTTTCCTTGATGTTCTCCATCCTCACTGGCTCTTACTCTTTCTGCCTCTTCTTCAAGGTTCCCTGAGCTTTGAGTGGAGAGATTTTATGGAGACATTTCATTTAGGATTGAGTGTTCAAAGGTCTTGCACTCTGTGCATTTTGGGCCTGTGGTTCTCAGTATTTGTTCCCCTCAACCACAGAAGGAAGCTTCTTTGATGATGGCTGAGCAGGATACTGATGTATGAGTATAGCAGATTATTGTTAGGCATCATTTTATTGCTATAATCCTTTAGCAGAACAGTAGTGTTTGGATTTCCCCTGTGTCACAAAACATTTGATTGCACTGTGAAACTCCAAGACTGTTTTAATAAAATTAACCTTGGATTAGGGGGCAGACCCAGCAACTAGTTGACAGGAAGTAGCCATAGAGGGGACAGAGGAGCCAGGTTATACAGATAGAGAGACACAGAGGAAGCAGTATGGGGGCACTGAGATTTTCCATCTTTTTGGTTTGTGATGAGTGGAGAGGTGCTTCTCCAGCGAAAAAAGAAGATCAGCTGGTTACTTATCAGCTTTTCTAATCCTGATCCTTTACTGGTAAATAGAGTCATAGAGACTTAGTTAAAACCTGCATTTGGTGGCTGTAACCTAGCTGTTGCTAGTGGGACTGGAAACCATCACCAGACTGTGGTCTGAGTGGCAGGGTGCTAACTGAGGGGATATAGGGTGTAGATGGTAGTTAAAATATCAGTAGATTCTGGTGTGACCACTAAGCCAACAGCAAAACAACACCCCTGGGTCTAGTCTCAGGTTCTCGGCCACCTGAGCGGTGTCAGGGATAGGTTCCACCTTCTGTTGTGGCCTTAAATCAAATCAGATATTGGCTGGTTGGTCTCACAAGCTTTGTGTCACTATTGCACCAGCTCAGACTACATGCAGGACATCATTGTAGATTGAAGGGTTTGTAGCCGGGTTTGTGTTAACCTCTCTCCTTTGGTAGCTTGCAGAGTATCTTTCTATACCAAAGACACTAACATGTGGAGGTCAAAGCCAATGAGCTCAAAGCTATTCCCCTTTTCCTTTATTCAGGTTCACTGTATCAGGTTTTATGTTGAGGTCTTAGATCCGTTTTAAGCTGCATTTTGTGCAGAGTGGCAAGTATCGGACATAGAGTTTTATCAACACAATTTATTGAAAATGCTGCCTTTTTCCCAATATGTATTTTGCCTTCATTATCAAAAATTAGTTGTTAATAGATATGTGGATCTATGTCTGGGTCTTCAATTCCATTGATCGACATGTCTGTGTTTGTGCTAATATCATGCTGTATTATATTTATTACTACAGCTCTGTAGAACAATTTGAGTTTGGGGCGAGTGATATCTCAAGCAGTTCTTTTATTAGTCAGGATTGTTTTAACTATCCTATTTTTGTTTGTTTGCATATGAAGCTGAAAATTGTCCTTCACATTTCTGTGAAGAATTACGATGGAATTTTTTGGTAAGGATTGCATTAAATCTATAGATTGCTTTTGGTAGGTTGGCCATTTTTGCTATATTAATCCTACTGATTCATGTACATGGGAAGTCTTTCCATCTTCTGATATCTTCTTCAATTCCTTTCTTCAATGTCTTGAAGTTTCTATCATACAAATTGTCATAGTTGGGTTACTATTGCTGTGAAGATACACCATGACCACAGCATCGCTTATATTGAAAAGTATCTAATTGGGGCTGGTTTATAGTTTCATAAGTTTAGTCCATTATTGTCATGGTGGGAAGCATGGCAATGTATAGGAAGACATGGAGCCAGAGAAAGAGCTGAGAGTTCTACATCTGGGTCTGCAGGAAGAGACCATGAGCCACTGGCCTGTGTGGAGCACCTAGAACTTCAAAGTCCTACCCCAGGGACACACTTCCTCCAACAAGTCCATACCTACTCTGACAAGGCCACACCTAATAGCGCCTCTCCCTATTATCTTATTGGCCATTTTCATTCAAATTACCACCCCAGTCTTGCAGTTGCTGGGTTAGAGTTACCCCAAGGTATTTTATATGTTTCTGGATGTGGTGAAAGGAACTGTCTCCCTGACTTCTTTCTCAATTGATTTGTCATTTGTATATAAGAAGGCCACTGAGTTTTGTGGGTTAATTTTGTATCCTGCTACTTGGCTGGAAGTAAAGTAAGTATTTTACAGCTGAGTAAGACCGATGAATACTTTTCTTCTCTGGTAGCCACCTTTCCCTATGTAACTCCCACACAAAAGCTCCTTTCTTCCAAGTAACATATTTTTGATTTTTTGGTGACAGTGTCTCATAATGGAACCCCGGATGGCCTGGAACTAGCTATACAGCCCAGGTTTGCCTCGAACTCACAGAGATTCACTTGCGTCTACCTCTCCAGTACTGGGATTTGCTTTATTTTGTAACTTGCTAAATTTAACTAGGGTTATTTGTGTGGCCATGGGTCTGGAGTTGAACATGGGCGTGTGTTGCATCAGTGTTTGAGTGACTGAACCATTGTCTACGTCTCCTCAGTATCCATTCTATGTTAATAGTTCAGTAGTGAAGGGCGGGCCCTGTAAATGCTTTGTTGTTCTGTGATTGACTGTTGGCAGGCCTAGTCTTGTGTAAGCTCACTGGAGGTAGCCATGGGTGCTGTAATATTATGATTACATTGGTTCTGTTATGCCAGGAGGGTAGTATTTCACAGCCTTTCAGGGAGAAATTCTTTATCTGTGGAAAACCAAATGAGAGATATATGAAAAGATGCAAATTTAACTTTATTTTCTTATTTCTATCACCAAGTATACTGTATCAAGGTAATAAGGTATCTATCTATCTGTCTGTCTGTCTGTCTGTCTGTCTATCTATTTATCTATCATCTTCTATCTATCCAATCTATTTTATCTTGTCTTAATATAATAAGGAACTCTATCGTATGATTAATAAGATTAATTTTTATTTATTTAAAAGTATTTAAGTAAAAGTTTAGTTCTTTACATTAAGCATTTGTGTTTAAAGTAAAACATTCCCTGATGTCTATTTGTTTGGATATTGATGAATGCAAGTTTGAGAGACAGTGAAGTTTTTCTTGTTGTTGCTGCTCTGTGAAGAGCCCCGTGCTTATGATATGCAGAAGCCCCCTCCTACCCACCCCAGCTCCACTCCAAGCCAAAGGCATGTTTAAGAGGAAAGGTTAGCTCTATACCCTGAATGAAAGGGCAATTGAATCATTTTTATTTCTTTCTTTTTATAGTTAGCCATGTAAAAAATGAGGAATATTTTTTTTGGACTTTATCAGCAGAGGGCAGCAAAGCTTCAGGTAGTGTGCTTCCAGGGCCAAATGCAGCTTTGCCCAGGATAGTTTTTTCTTTTCTTCTGCTGTTAGGAAGTATCTCCTCTGCTTTCCTCTTAGTGACAGGCTCTGATCATAGCCTTTAAGAATTATCCAGTCTTTTCTTATGTATTATAGAAAGAAGAGCCTTTCTTAATGTATTTCTTTCTTTCTGTAACTTAGGGAGTACCAGGACCTGGAAGGTATGAAATTAAAAGTCAATTTCAGAAGACACAAAGTCTGGCAGCAAATATAACTGATGAATCTTCCTTTTTTCTCTCTGAATCAGAGGTAATTGTGTAAGCCATTTTCATATACACAGTGTAATAGGCATGATGTGAGCCCAGTAGTAAAGCCAAAGGTGTTTAAGGAAATCATAAAAAGCAAAATGACATACAGCAAATTAGAAATGGGCAAGGTCATGGTAAAACCTTTCAAAATTGTGGGTGGAGTTTTGTGACATAAGAGTGAATATTAAGAATAATACTCAGATGAATATTTGAATTGGTGATATCTATGAACCTTTTTCTATTAATCAAATTTGCATATGTATACATTCAGTTCAGATGATCTGAAATACCAATTTTATTCTGAATATGTACTTTGCTAATGCATGCATGGAGTATGAAGTGTAGCTCATGTGGAAACATGTAATTTTTGGAGAATGGCATAAAGGTAGTCTGTTATACCTGCCATTGGCCATATGTGACCTATCTTAGTTATGGACGTGCAGTCAGAACATCTGTTCGTTCCATAGCCACTGCTTCACATCCTTTAAGGAACAATCTAAGCAGACTAAAAGGTGGTTATGGTATTTCTATGCCAAGAATGAGGAGGCCGACAAGTATTTGTAATGCGGAAGCCTGCAGATAAGGTGGCTGTGGAATGTATTTACTTGTGCTATGTGCAGCTCTGATTATTTTATTTAACTTGGGAAAGTTATTAACTTTCAAGTGACTACAGACAACTACTTTGCTTTCAATATATTTAAGATCTCTTCCTTGGAGACAGGTGGATAGATTAAAGATATATTTTATAGATATAATTACGATTATACTTTAATGAGTTAGATTTTGTATTGAGGGACTGGAGAAGCTCAAGAGTGAATATTAGATTTTAGTCTTGAGCAACTGAATAGTACTTAAGGCACTGCACAAGGGGGATATATAAAGGACAGTGTGTGTGTGTGTGTGTGTGTGTGTGTGTGTGTGTGTGTGTGACCCCTTGGTTTTTAAAAATACAGTTTATAAATAGCATTTTCATGTTTTTATGCAAGTTCCATTCACCTAATATATAGTTCAAATTTTATGTCGTTTGCCACCAATCATTTAAATTACATTTTGTAAATGGAAAATGGAAATAATTTTGTTCAAATGGATGATAGTGAAAGGCAGAAAAATGGCAGAAGACACAGAGGAGATAAAACCAAACATGTTTGCCTCATAGAGGCAGTGGGTTTAGTTGCATATGCAAAGATACATTAATTATCATAATAGAAAAAGAAACAATCCATTTAAGGAAATACACTTAGGGGTCAGATTTTATGCTATTTAGGCATAAATATGGTTATATTTCTGGGAAATTTTAGACATATTTCAGGAAAGGTCTAATATTTTACCAAAATGCAATGAATCTCCTTATGTTTACATGATATTTTACAAAACACAATTATTTTGTTTGTAACCATGGTTCCAAGTTCTGGATGAACTTTAGAATTATTCATGGGATTTTTAAAATTGACACACCCAGAGGCCAACCTGTTCCTCTGTTCCTCTCTGAGACTAGTTTAGTTGGCCTTCATATTTATTTTTACAAAATGCAAAAAGCATATTTGATGCACTGCAATTTTTTTTGTATAGAAAGGGCAAAAGGAAAACATGCATGTGACTGTTTGGTTTTATGAACACACAGAGAGGAGGAACCAGAAAGCAATGTTGTAGCCTCTCTCGAAATGACAGCTAAGAGCTGGGATAGGCTCTGGATGCTACAGTGCATGCGTATCAGCTTCCAAGAGGCAATGGTGGCTTCCAGGACTTGTGCGTGTTGGTTGATGTTATGCTGATAGTGCGAACTTTGCCATCCTGTGGGTGAATTTCCACCATGGAAATAAGAAAATGTTATACATTGTGAGCTCCTGCCCATCACAGAGGCGAGCTCACATAGAAACAGAGTGAAATGAGAGGCAGCAATGAATGCTCCTTTGCACTGTTTTAAAAAAGCATGGCTCATCTTTTGGAAACATGACAGCATTTCACATAGTCACAAGTGGTACAATTCAATCAAAATAGAAAGAGTTAAAAAAAACTTTCCAAATCTAAAAGCAAATGGAAACCCATGAACAATTATTCCTTTTTTCAACAGCGTAGGGAGTTAAAGGTAGAAGTGCCCCAGGTGAGCAATATTTGACTATGCCATTATTGGAAGGTAAATGCAGGAGGCTCTCTGGGGCTTGCTGGCCAGGCAGTGACCTCCCGGTTCATGAAAGACCCCTTGTCTAAAACTAAGATGGACAAGCAATTGAAGAAGATTCTGACTTGACCTCTGCCCCCTACCACATGCCGACATTTGTGTACACACACACACACACACACACACACACACACACACACACCCTCCCTCACACATGTTCACACACAGAAATATAACACAAATCATGTTAGATCATTTGGTAAGCAAAGAATATTTGAAAGTTAAAACTGTCCATATCCTGTCATCTAGAACTAGAATCTCATCTCAACATTATTTCTTTTGAAAGGAAGTGAGACACAACCATACATAACAGTATCAGCATATCAGAGACTTTACCAAAAGTTACACTTTTTATGTTTCAATGACCAAAAGATCTTAATTCATCTGTATTTTCTTTGCTGCATGGAGAAATAGACTTTAGCTGCTATGTCACTCAGAAGGCAGCTTTTAACTAATTATGTGTGGAATCTTCTTCTTTTTTCTATTGGTACATTTTCCTAGAGATTTGCACCTATCAAATCCAGTACCCCAGCTCCTGGCACATATAACGAAACACGAACTGCATTTAAGTGCTCAGAGAAAAGATCAGGAGAGGAGTCGCCATTTGGACAAAGTGCTGCCCGGTTCACAGAGGACTTCGAGGCACAGGAAATGCCAGGTTCGCTGTTCATCTTCTACTCTAACTATATGCAAATTATTGTCCTTAACAGGTTGGTACAAGGGCAAATTCAGTTTACTATGCTTACTGGCATTATTTAAAGTAACAAACGTAAGTACTGACTAAGTGGTAAGCAGACAAATCAGTATGTAGTGAAGTTTTAGTCAGATCAGTTACAGAGCACAGCCAATTTAATAGAACTTGAAGTCATCATTCAAATATGTCCTAACTCACTAGTGGATATCTATTCACCCAAACAGACTTCTCTTGAAGAAAATCAAACTATTCAGAGGATACTTAAATATTACTGCAATTATCTGAGCATCTTAACAAAATCTTTCAACAGCATAGAAAGTTGTTTATTTTCTTTTGAGTGAAAAATAAGTGAAACTTTATTCATTCAGACTACCACTGTAGAAAATACTCTGAGTTATAGTTTTTTACTATAAAGAAGGAACGAAAAACTATAATAAGAGTGGAGACAGGAAAGTTAGATGATGGATGCTTTTATTTTGCATGTAAAATACATTTTACATCAACCTTCTAAAATTGGTTAGCTTTGTGATTTATTCACGAATCCTCTTTTGAGGTTTAGTTTACACATAATAAAATAATTTTAAGTGTATAGATCTATGATCTTGATAAATGTATTAGCTATCATTCAAAGAGGTTCATATGCTATATTAAGCAAAACAGCACTTACAATTGATAGTAAGTAGCACACATTCCAGTTGTCTTGGTTGGTTTTATTGTCAACATGACACAACCCAGCTGAGGAGAGCCATCTCACCTGAAGAATTGCCTCTGCGAGATTAGCCTGTGGCCATGGCTATGGGACATTTTTCTTGATTGCTACTTGATGTAGGTAGGCCCAACTCATCGTGGGTGGTACCATTCTTGAATATGTGGGCCTGGACTATAAGAAATGTAGCTGAGCAAGCCAGCAGAGGCGAGTCACAAATCAGTGCTATTTCATGGGCTCTGCTTCAGTTTCTGCCTCCAGGTTCCTATCTTGAGTTCCTACAGTAGGAAAAACCAAACTAGAACAGAAAACTGGCACTGAGATCTTGGGGGTGTTGCTCTGATGGACCCGATTTTGTTTCTTGGGAGGATTTTGGAGCTTAGGGCTGGACACAGCTGTTGAATGCTCAGAAGTTATGGAAACTTGGAAGACAAGATGTTGAAAGAGATGTTGGGGCCTGGCTTGTGAAATTTCAGAGAGAAGTGAAGACTCTATTAGGACAGTTTGTATGAAATTTTGCATTAAGAATTCCAAAGTGGAATGCTTGCTTTCCTGGGAAAGTTGGTTCTGGTTAGCACTGGCTGAAGAATCAGTTGTGTTTGATAAGATACCAGCATCACTGAGGTGAAATCTTCTGAGGTGTATTCTCTCAGGGTCAGCACACAGACAGTGTGGTCTAGGGGGGTCAAGGCAGCATCGCAGGCTGGGAGCTGAGGTAATGGATAGTGAGTCTCCTATATGGTACTGATTTTGAAAGCATAAGGTATCATAGAGCATAGATGCAGCGTGGCAGCATCTGGGCAGGTTGGAATCCCCACAGAGAAGCCAGGGGATCACAGATGTAAGTGTAGACCACTTGCAGTGGAGGCCCCACCCAGGCTTGAAAATGTCGAGGAGAGAAGTTGGTGTTGGCACCTTGAAGCAGGGTCTGAGTCCATAGAGAGGGTCCAGGAGAGGCAGCCTCTGCCAAAGTGGATATCTAGTATATTGGAGATGCCGGGAGTGTGGGGTGGCCTCCAAAGACAGTGGAAGGTATGGAGGGGAGCTAGCCCAAGACTACCAGGACAGGAGAGGTGGAGCTGCCCAAACTCTTTGGGTCCCAGAATATTGTGGCTCTCAGAATACAGAAGCTGTTTCAGTCCCAAACTCTTTGGGTCCCAGAATATTGTGGCTCTCAGAATACAGAAGCTGAGTTGTTTACATGTGTTTCAGTCTGATTGTTCCTATGCCCTGGTTGCTTGTGGTCAATGTTTTTATCATTGCAACAGAAATCAAAGTAGGCCACTAGTAAAGCTTAGAATATTGGGTAGGGACTTAGGGAGGCTTATTAAAGGCAAGAGGAGGTGTTTAGGTAACTTAGGCTGTGAAAATTATCATGGAATACTTTCCTATGGTAGCTCTGCTCTGATGTCTTGTGGGTCCAGGATGTTGTCACTAGGGAATAATGTAGCTACCACCATTCTCAGAGTGTTCCTTCTCAAGGCATTGGAGATTTCCTTTGTCAGTGATTTCCTGGAGTGGTTTCTACAGCTCGGCATAGTATGTGGCTTTCCAAAGGTATCAAGCTGCTAGTTTTGTCACACAGAAACCACTGTTATTATCAAATTTTAGAGCAGCCCCATCACTCTTTAAAGTTTCTCACATGCACCATTGACATTAATGTCTACCCCCATGCCTGTCCCCAGGCAACTGCTGTGAACCTGGGTTTTGTAAATTTTTGTATAAGTAGACTTATTTAGAATTTTGTCACCACTTTCTCTGCATGCTCTGACATTCATTCATATTTACTCATTAACTTTGTAAGCCTTGAACAAATTTATGAAAAGTGTCTGTGCTATTGTATGTTAGCCAGAAATAGTATGTACTCCAGTCTAAAATATTTACTTAATGTTTCTGAGTTCAAAAAAAAGTTCTTAAAAGTGCATTTTTTCTTATACACAATGTTCATCATAATTTTAGGTCCTGGCTTTTATGATATTTCAAGAAAAACTGTAATTGCCAAGGTTAAAAAACCCCACTTGAAGAAACCAACGAGAGCTGGATTTCGCTATTTTGTCCCTCGACCTTTGATCGAACTTCAGAGAGAAGTTTGCGTCGGTCCAGGACCTTGCGATTATCAGGTGATATATTAATGGCAAGACATTATCTTCATATACAGTATATTTACATACAATACTAAGCCATTAGTACTCTCTAAAGTTTCATGTTGTGGTAGAATTACTAGGAAAGCGTGGAAAGCTATTCCTGTTACTATGTCCCATATATTTTGAAAAGCTGAAGACTGATCATTTATCAGTAGATGAATGACAGCAGTGAAAAATAACTTACAAACAGAAGTTCTAGAGATTACAGATGTCACATTTGAAAGAATCTGCACTAAAGCTCTGCTCAGGGAAAAAGGAGTCAGGAAGGTAAATGTTCAAGCTATAAACCAAGAAGTGGAGATATTTAGTACATAGTGATTAAGGGTTAGGGAGAGTTAACCAGACAGCTAGTTTACAATGGTAATTTTTCTAATAAGGAGAAGCTTCTGTGTAGGTAAGGCCAGCAGTGGGGTCAGGAGATGAGAACAGGAGCTTGGGATTTTCGTTCAGTGGAGGTATGGGTTAGCTTTTGGCTTAGGCCAGCTTTATGGGATATAATACATTTTTATCAGGTGTAATATATGATATGTAATTATATAATATCACATAGATTATACACAGTACAAGTATTATAATATGATATAGTTATATATAACATAATTTATAAAATTTTTATTAATGTGATAATATGTATAATGTGATCCTAAGATGAGACAATGGCATTAACATTGCAAACAATATAAAATATAATATGCTTAAGGATTTCAAGACTCAATTATACCACTCCTGGGCATATACCCAAAGGATACTCCATCATACTACAAGAACACTTTCTCAGCTATGTTCATAGTAGCTTTATTCATAATAGCCAGAACTTGGAAATAACCTAGATACCCATTACATGAAGAATGGATAAAGAAAATATGGTACATTTACACAGTGGAGTATTGCTCAGCTGTTAAAAAAACTGAAATTTAAAGGCAAATGGATGTATCTAGAAAAAAATCATCCTGAGTGAGGTAATGCAGACCCAGAAAGACACAGTATATAGTCACTTATCAGTGGATATTAGCTGTACAGTAAAGGATAACCAGGTTACAGTCCACAGCCCCTGAGTGGCTAGGTAACAATGAGGGCCCAAGGGGAACTAATGGATCACCCTGAGAAGGGGAAATAGAAGAGATTTTGTAGGTGGTCAGGGGATGGGTGGGTATGGGAACATGATTATGTTGGGGATAGATGAAGAGGAAAGGGCAGCATTCTGGGGTCAGATAGGAACCCGATGCAAGGTGAACTCCTCAGAATCTACAAGGACCTCTGTCAAAACTCCTAGCAACAGTGGATTTGTAGCCTGATCTGGTCATTTCCTGTGACTAGGCAAGACTTTCAGGGCAGGGATTGGGACACCAATCAGCCACACAATCTTTGAACTACAGTCTGTCCTGCCTATGGGATGTGCTGGGGTAAGGGTGTCCTAACTTAGAGCATTTTCACTCCATTGTCACAGACTCTACATTTGTGTATTTTCAACTCTTGGAACATTACTGCTTTGCATCATCTGTACTCACCGATTCTGCATTTTCCTGTTTCTGTCTGGGTTTTCTTTTGCCTTTCTGACAAATAGGCACCTTGTGTTCCTCCTTGCCTAGGTTGGCTGTTGCTGAGTCACTGTAGGCTTGGTTTGTCTTAAAAGGTCTGTATTGTATAAACTTTGAATTTTTGGAGGTGTAAATTTTTAGGTTGTTAGTTACTTCCAGCACTTTAATGATGCCATTGTGATAAGTGGGTTGTTCTGTATATTGTTTTTCCTGTGAAATGAGTGGATGTTTTTGTGTCTCTCATTTGTATATTTGGTATGACTAAGCGTTGCTTTCCTTTCAATACATCTGTCGCCAGTTGCAGAGCCATTGCAGCACGGCTTGCTATGTGGCGTCAATTTGAAATAATCCTTGTCTGTTGCTTCTTTATATATTTCTTGTGCCATATCCTTTCCCACTGCTTGGATCCTATTGCATATGTATGTTGGATTATTTGTCATGCTCTGAACATCTCTTAGCATACATCTGTGTTGCACCTTTTTTTTTGTCTCTTCTACATACCATGCTTGGGTGTATAAATTTTCTGTTAGGAGGCCCTGAAATTTTTTAAGTGTTTATCAAAATGAAGCTATTAAATTATTTTTAAAAAAACAATTATATTCATACAATATATTCTAGTATGGTTTCCTCTTCCTTAACTCCTCCTAGACCCTTCCTATCTCTTGAACCACCCAACTCCATGACCTTTCTTACTTTCTTTCTTTATGAAGCAGACAGACAGGTAAACAAAAAAACATTTGCCCCAACAAACCAGAATTTAAAAAAAAAGTAAAGAAAAAAACCATAAGGAACACATACAGGCACAAGCACAGTCAATTTCACATATTATTTTTTCAATTCTAGAATTCTTTCTTTTACCATATGTTGATTGCATAAACTAATGGGTTTCATTATGACAGTCCCAAACACATATATTATGCATTTAACTATTTTCATATTTCCCTTCGACATTCTCCAGTCCCCTCTTTGTTCCTGATGGTCTCCTTATGCTGCTCCATATAGCCCTCTTCTAATTTCAAGGGTTGTTTTTAAAACAATTTTAGACTGTACATGTGAGAGAAAGCACGCACATTTGTTTTCATGGGCCTAGCTTGTGTAGCTTAACAAGGTGATCTTCAGACCTCCCAGATACCTTTCCTACATCTAGTCCAGTGACCCCCACTCTCAAACTGATAATATCTTTGATTATTATTGTTGCACACATATATGTATATATACATACGCACAAATATTTAAATAGAATGTGATAAGACTAGTTTTGTCACTTGTGTATATATGATTTCAAGACTGCCCACTTTGTAGTGGACAAACAGCAAAGGGGTTCACCCCTGGGAGAGGCCAGTTCTCCATCTCCCAATAGTTCATTGTCTATAGTTCACTGCCTGTGAAAAATTCAGTCCACATTAGCTGGTCTATTGATACTGGCATTGCTCCTGTGTTGTTATGTAGCTATACCTAGGAGACATTGTTTCATATCTGACTTCCTGAAAGTCTAGCTCTTACCATCCTTCTGCTCCCTCTTCTGTGATGTTCCCCGAACCATAGATGCAGACACTGTGATCTGGAGCTAGGCTCCTGCAATCCATTGGTCTCCGCGTTGTGTCCAGTTGTGGTTTTCTGTGGCGGCTTCTATTTGCTGTAAAGATAAGCTTCTCCAATGAAGTGTGGTAGTTACTCTTATCTGTTGGTTATAAAGATAAGATTTGGAGTACAGTAAGGAATAACAGAGGTCTGTCAAAGTGGCAGTAATTGACTCTTTTCTAATGACTTCACTGGCCTCAGAAGTTGGCATGATTCCCCCATTGTTGAGTGTGCCTTACATCCAATTAGACAGCTGTTGGTTACTGCCAGTATATATGCCTCGAACAGCACCTTTACACATATCTTGCCATGCTGGTCAGTGCTGTGGTTCATAGGTGTTTCATGAACTATAAGGTAAGACTATGAATTGTTTCCCTCCCTTGCGGCTTTAATAGTATTTTCTGGTACCATGGAAACTGGACTGAAGGAAGGAGGCTTTCATGTAACCAGCTTGAATCTGAGTTTTGTGTCCCAAGTGATCGGTGTCTTCGAAATATAGACTTCCTTCAGCCTTCGAGAAGCAGCCAAAGGCTACATCCATAGGTTCTGTTGTTTCGGGAGTCACTTGCTCTGCCTTTTTCAACCATTGGAAAGCGTTTCTCATGCCTAGTATTGGGTTTCTGTTAGTTTGTGGTTCTTGTGGGGAACATAGTCTGCTCAAGCATATGTTCCACATTCCTTTGTTGATGGTTACCTTGATGATTCCATAACTTGAATATTTGGCTTCAAAAATATTGTTGTGTTGGTACTTCTTTTTGGTATGCTGGCTGTGATTTGTTTGTGTATATACCTAGGGGTATATACCTATAGGTGGATCATATGGAATTTGACGTTAGTTATTTGAAAGAGTCTTTATAGTGATTTTCATAGCAGCTATTTTATACTCCCAACAATAGTTTACAAGGGTTCTTTATTTTTTGCTTGCATCCTCACCAGCATTTGTTGTCTGATTTCTTTTTTAAAGGTTTTATTCTATCTCTCTCTCTCTCTCTCTCTCTCTCTCTCTCTCTCTCTCTCCCCATTGTGTGTGTTTGCACATGCACCCGTATCTGAGTGCAGGTCTCCCAGAGTCCAGAAGGCTTTGAATACTCTGGAGCCAGAGTTGTAAGCAGCTGTGCTGGGAACCAAACTTGGGTCTTCTGCAAGAGCAGTTTTGTGCTCTTAACCACCAGGTCATCTCTCCAAACCTTCATTTGATTTTTTGGATAAGAGCTATGTTTACTGGAATGACAGAATGCCAGTATGGTTTTGCTTTTCATTTTTCTGATACTGAAAATGCTGAAAAATTTTCACATATTTATTGATCATTTAAGCTTCATCTTTAATTTTCCTTTTATTTAACGATTGATTTGAGGAACATTGCTCTTAGTAGTTGTTCTCTAAGGTTCTGGAAGAATTTAGTAGTGCATTTGTCTGGTCTGCATTTTTTTAAGTTGAAAAACTCTTTCTTAGTGCTTCAGTTTCCCCAAGTGTAATGTATTTGTTGGAAATGGACAACTCCAACTTTCCCCAGTTTTAATGGAAATATTTGAACTTTGTCCTTGTTTTCTATAATGTTGGGTTTAAGTTTGTCACATATAGTCTTTATTGTTATGAAGTATGTTCCCATTTTTTCCAGGGCCCCTTTCACTGTAGTATTAGTTTTTTTATCGTCTTCACACAAAATTGGGTTTATTGCTAAAGGAACAGATAGTTTTACAGAGAGAACAAGTAAGGATATATTTGGCTTTTTAGTAAATTAATGTTCACTATAAAATAAAGAAAGAAATAGATGTATCAGGCCATTACCTACTATGTTTCAAATTCTAAAATACTAAATACAAATATGAAGTTAGGATATGAAAACAGTGAGGTCTATAAAGATGAGAATATAAACCTTTATCCCTTTTGTATAAACAAAGAATGTTGCAACTGTTTATACAGTTTAAATGAATACAGATGAATAAATTAGATTAAATTGGAAACAGTACTTCACAGGGATTAATTAATTGTAAATTAAAATTGTAGATTACCTGCTTCTTTTAGCATATTAATTTTCATCTTCAGTGCATGTGAGGGATTATCATATTAAAAGAGTATTGATCATTTTACTTAGAAAGCATATTAGTTCAGAACTGCACATTATTAAGTTAAATTTTAGCTAATATGTTTAATGTATTAATAATAAAGTGTTAACAAATGATGCTATATAATTGTGTGTATAAATTATCATTGTATATTATTGAGATTACAACATACTGGTTGTGATATTGAAAAGTAATTGATATCTAAATATGATATTTGAGTATAGCTTTATTCAAATGTTTATTTTGTTACTTTATGTATTTATTTTTCTGTTTTTTGAGACAGAGTTTCTCTGTGTAGCTCTGAATGTCCTGGAATTTGCTCTGTAGGCCAGGCTAGCCTCAAATTCACGGAGATCCACCTGCCTGCCTCTCAAATGCTGGGATGAAAGGTGTGTACTACCACACTTAGCTTATTACTTTTAAGTTTTGAAATTATAGTGTAATTACATATTTCCACCATCATTTACTCCTTCCAAACTCTCTCATACACCCCTACTTTCTCTATTTCAAATTCATGGCCTCATGTTTTCAATAATTGCTGTGACATGCATGTATGTATATGAATATACAGTGTTGAATACGTGTGTCCAACCTGCTCAGTCTGTTTGATGTGTGCTTCTTTTTCAGGGCTGATCGTCTGTTGTGTAACCAGTTGGTGTGCTCTTCACTGGACACTACTATTTCTCTTGCTCTCAGTGTCCCTTAGTTGCTTGTAGTTCTTAGAGTATGGTTGAGGACTCAGTAGGCTTTCTCCTGTCCATACCAGTACGTGTCTACTGTTGTTGCCCTTGTGCAGCTCATGTTTAGGCAGCAATGTTGGTGAGACACCATGGGTATAGCTTCTGGCAGTCCTAGGAGATACAACCTAATAATAACCTCACTTTACATATTTAAATAATTTATAAAGATCCATTACAGCTAACTACAGGCTTTATAATCAACTGTTTCCATTGTATTAGCTCATTGAATTTAGGTTTTTACTTTTGAATCTTTGTCTCCTTCTATTACTGGGGCAATAATATTTCCAAACTTCATTCTTTGCAAACTTATTGTTTTTAGTGCTAATTAATAGTGATATATACTCTTTTACGTCTTTATTTCAACTTGCTTTATTTTTGAATTCACAGAATGATGGAATTGTTGATAAGTTACCCAACTTGATTAAGAGACACACTGCTTTCTTGTCAAGAAAACAGAAAACTACAGAAGTACCACCTCAGGTAAGAAGACCTATAACCAAACCTATCTGTGGTTTTAGAACTAGAGCAGATAGTGCAGTGTAGGAATTATACAAGAGATTTAGATAATGACCTCAGTAACCTGCTTATTGTCTTTAACTAGTGTAATACTCCCACACTTAGCAAAAGTACACACTGGTACATGGACTTGTGGAGTCAGACAACATTATTACCAGGACATACATGAAAGCTGGGCTTAATGTGTTGAATTTGAAATAGAAAGTTCACTTTAGATTCAACTCAGTTTACTCATAAAAATTGGCGTTTCTCTTTATAATTTAATTCCATTTTGAAAACTAGGACTCACCAGTGATTCTTTAGTCCTATTAGGTTGTATCTCAAATTGTATTTATTTGAATTTTTCCTAACAATTGCCAATTTTATAAATGGCTTATACTGAAATAATGGAAGAAGTAAAGCAAATTAAACTTAAAAATGAAAGTACTATTTTATTCAGGTTGAATTTATTTAAAAGTTCTTAAAATAAAGTAGTTAAAAAGTTAGATCAATGAATAATGTTGCGGTGGTCTGAGTGTTTGTGTGTGTTTGAATTCATACGCTGACATCTGAGTCCCCAAAATGATAACATTAGATGAGACTTACTGGGAATTGACAAAGTCACAAGGGCAGGAGCTCCTTGGCCCTTCCAGGATATTAAACCCAAGAGAATCTGCCATTTGTGGGGAAGCAAGCCATGTCATTTGCTGAATCTGTTTGTGCCTTGATATTGTCCTTTCCAGCCTCAGAACTTGAAGAAATAAGTTCTTATAGCTTACAGTATTTTATTGCACTCCAAACTAAAGCAGATGTTACAATGTAACCATAGGTGTCTAAGGCATCATTCAAATACTGTTGAAATTAGATCATCTTTAAAATATATTTTAATGACAAATTGGCAAAATAGGATTATCAACCAGTATTAAAAAGTACAGGAAAACATCCAAAGCAGAGCACTGCTGAGATTAAGCTGCCAAGTCAGAGATGGTTGAGTTAATTTATAATTTTTTAGTGGCAACAACAGGGTGAACTACATTAAGAACGAAACAAAAACAATAATAATTACTGTTGTGAAATTTTAGGAAATCATAGGAATTTTGTGAGATTCAGGAATTGAATTTTCTGCCATTAATTGGCAATCTGAAATAGGATCAAAATAAGCATCAGGTTCTATGAAATTGTTTTGTAATTGTTGGATTCAGAACATGGTCTTGTCCCTATCTGAAGAGCAATAGGAGGTCAGTGGCTGCTGAATGGGAGAAACAGTTGCCTCCAAGTGAAAACTCCCAAAAAGTTGTCTAATCCTAAGTGGTCAGCTCTAAACACACATACATTCAAGCAAAGCCTACCAAACTCAGCAGGTTATACATTCATGTATACATATATAGACATATTAATAGACAAGTAAAATAATAATTAGAGGTCATGAATTTGGGAGTGGGAGGGAGGGGTTGGAGAAGGTAAGGGAGATGTAGGGGAGATATAGATGCCCTGCTCATGTATGAAATTCAGAAAAAATACCATTAAAAAAGGCAATTGAGAATGGTCTAGTGGTTTCTTGACTGTGGGTGATTTTCTGCAGTTGTTCAGTGAGTGAGCCACCCCAACAGCTCATTTCATCACAATGGAGAGTTCCAGCATTGAGCTGTTCTTCAGTGCCCCATTGTTGTCTATACACAGGATCTACAGTGAAACACACTTGAAGGGATCTGTGACTGAAATGAAAACTTTGTTTCCAGTGGCTGTAGAATGATGTCATGATACTGCAGACAGTAGGGATGTACACGTGATGTCCCTAAGGCACTGCAGGACTGCACATGTGCACTTTACTGTGTGGAGAAAGACGCTATAGCTGAGGTCTCAGGGAAGAGGGCGTTACCTTCTACCTCATCACACTCAGGTTGTTGTTTGTCTTCCTTTGTAGATGGCAACTTATTTTTGGAATGGTCTTGAATTTTCTAAAAGTTCTTTTATTTTTTTAAAATTTTAATATAATTACACCATTTCTCTGTCAAGTGACCACTCAACAGGCAATCGGGCTAAGGTTTTCTTTATTCAGATACACCAGCCAAGTGCAAGCCAAAGCGAGGAGGAGGGAGCCGGGACCAGGGCCAGCAGAGGGAGAAGAGAAGAGAGCGTCCACGTGTCTGTGGTCCCTTAAGAACCCTATCCTATGTCACCTTAGACTTCCCCTCACCA